CTGGGCCGCTGGGAAGTGCCGAGGAGCTGAGGCGCCGCAATCGGCTTCAGCACTTGCTGAAGAAAGAGCAAAAATTAGATTAAAAGGCTGATTTTTTTAATTTTTATTTTTTCTTTCAACCTACCTTCCGTGTTTGTGACTAGAATGGGATGGTAAATTTTCAGGTGACATCATCACTCATCCTTATCCTCTTTCTTAATAGCTTCCTAGGGAAAGCAGGATTTGAGAAATACTTTATTTTGCTTTTATGTGACAAAAGTTTGGCTTTCAGGGATGGGGCCACATTCCCAGTTGCAGTCATTTTTATTCCAAATACAATGACGGAAAGTAAATTCTTGGTTTCTTTTTTCAGATAACCCACTCATACAATACTGAAATCTGTTACAAATACAGTATTTATTCATACACCATCACATCTGAACAGTGTAAGCAACCTTTTGGGCAAAAGGGTACATTTTTTCCTCTGTGGACCCTATTAATCATGAGAGTGCTTTCTCGCTTCCTTCTAGCGAGGTTTTTATTCTTTCATGCGCTCAACAATAAACCTCCAAATAAGATGTTTTCTTGGTTTGCTTAAATTGTGTGGGATAGAGTGTGTCTGCCATTGCATTCTCTCTCACTTCTGTCATTTATAACGAGGAACTGAATGGCACTTTAGAAATGGGTAAGAGAGGTCATTCTGTTGGTTTTCCACAAAAAAAAAAAACCACACCCTAACAGGAAAACACACTGACAGTAGTTGTCGACTGTTTGAAAACTACCATTGGCCTTAGATTTTGGCCAATGCTGGCATTTCATAATTAGTTTTATCCAACGTAAATAGCTTGTATCTGCCAATAATGGGAAGTTGTCAGGGAGGCCATTTGCAGAGTTAAAACAGGGCTGCATAACCAAATGCCTTTGAAATGCATTAGTGTGAGAGACCTTTTGGAAATACAGAAGGAAAACATGATAAAAATAGTGCTGGAGAAGCAGAGAAGGGAAGACTTCTAATTTACTCCTAAGTGTTTTAACTAAACCCAGCAGACATTACAGTACTTTCACAAAATTATTTTACCGCTCAGCAATACTGAAGGCAATACAGGAATTGATGTCTTTTTATCCATAGATTTTACTAGCTGATAATGATGTTAGAAGAATCCAATATTTATAAAGCAGACCATCTTTGAAAATTACAGTACAAAATGCAAACCAGCATGCTCATCTCCATAATGAGAAAAAAGAACTGCTTTTCTGAGCGAGCTTTATTTTTAGTTCAGTGTTTTAGTATCATTTTATACGTATATCTGCTGTACTTGCTTTGTGAGTACAGAACAGACTACAGGTACATTGAAGCATGGAAGAAAGTAGTAGTACAATTCCTAAGTCAGTAGGAGGTATGAACTTCTGTGTTGTGTGAAGCAAAATACCACTGATGAGCTCTGTGGAGTCAGCAGCTCCCACTGAGTTCCTGGAGGCACAGAAACGACTGGGTTATAAAAGGACAAGTAAGACTCCAGTCTCTGTGCAAGACTAGGGCTTAGTTCAGAGTTCAGTCAGTTTCCTGAAAAATGCAAAATACGAGTGTTACGGTACGGCGCTGTATATGGTACGACAGGGTGTCCTGCTGTACTTTGAATGTTGAATAAATGGACCGCACTTCTCGCTGTGCGGTGAGGTGTGATGTGTGAAATCAGGGTGTGAGAGATACTTCTGAATCGTGGATGTCCCTCCATTTCATCTCTTGGGGCATTTCATCTCTTGAACTGGGACAAATGGCTGCATCTGGCTCTCAGGGAATTGCCTTCATGCAAGGCTCTTTCAGGCACGAGGCCCTATCCAGGGGTGGTGCTCTGGCTTTGGTGCAGCACCACCACATCCCCTCCCCACGCCAGGGACCCAGCACAAGGCATCCCTGTATGCGTGCAGAGATACAGC